CACACACACACACTTAGCTACACACACACACGTACACACAGCTACACACACACGTACACACAGCTACACACACACACACACGTACACACAGCTACACACACACACACACGTACACTCAGCTACACACACACACACGTACACTCAGCTACACACACACACACGTACACTCAGCTACACACACACACACGTACACTCAGCTACACACACACGTACACTCAGCTACACACACACACACCCGTACACACAGCTACACACACACACACGTACACACAGCTACACACACACACACACGTACACACAGCTACACACACACACGTACACACAGCTACACACACACACGTACACACAGCTACACACACACACGTACACACAGCTACACACAGCTACACACACACACGTACACACAGCTACACACACACGTACACACAGCTACACACACGTACACACAGCTACACACACACACACACACGTACACACAGCTACACACACACACACGTACACACAGCTACACACACGTACACACAGCTACACACACGCACACGTACACACAGCTACACACACGTACACACACACGTACACACAGCTACACACACATACACAGCTACACACACACGTACACACAGCTACACACACACACGCCGTCCCAGCGGCCCTGCTGGGAATCCCGAGGTATTTTCAGCACAAGGAACGCCGTACCGCGTAATCCGCCAAGTCAACAAGTGGAAAAGAAGACACACGCACACAACACGCATATCGGGACGAATAAGATGAAAAGCATTTACTGCCCATTGAGTTACGTGGATACGGTCGTTCAGAAGTATTTTTGTCATTCCTTTTCGTTGATTGCATAATCTTGCCAATGAATTAATTGACGTATACTTTTGCTTTGGGGAAATGTTTCTTTATTGCCGTTCGTATGAATATCGTCGCATGCATGTTTAAGGACGTCTTCCTATCGCCGTATATGCTCGCGTTACTCTGAGGAATTAATCGAATGTTCTGTTACCCAGTAAACAACGTAATCATTGAGGGTTAAATGTACGGATCAATGAGAACATCTCCAGGGGTACTGTGTTGACAATTCCAAGCATAAGATTTCGAATATTAAAGTTATGTTTTTGGTTAGAAATTTAAATTTCTTAACACAAAAGAGTCCGAGTGGTGCCTTCCTAAGTTCATGCGTAATGATCTCAAATATGAGAACTGTATCCTGCGGTGAGATTTGAATTTGGAGACACGAAGACACAATCAGTAAATGTTAAAACGAGACTAATTGTATTATCCCGAGTGATAATACGACCCTAGGCAACGAAGATAAGCATAATTATCATAACTGCATACATTAGCATAATTGCATACAGTTGCATAACTTTATAGGATCACCTCCCTAATTAGCATAATTTCGGATAATTACACATTTTTCCTATTTACATTTAATTTTTATTATTTTTAATTAATTTTTCAAGGCCCAACATATACAACAGGTGTGAAGCCAGCCAGGCTCACGATGTCCTTGAATGCTGGGATGAACAGATCTGACTTCAGCTGCATGTGTGTGCTGTGTTAACTTCTTGACTGTTTCCATTCTTACAAAGAGCTCCAGAGGAAAACAAAAAACAAACTACAGCTTTGATATAACCTCCCTGTTCAATAGAGTTAATAGAATTTACTGCAAACACAAACTTTACACTGTCACACACTGGCATGGCTCACAGGTGGTGGTGTATTAATGCTTCCTTACTCCACCAAGAAATTCATTGAGGATCAATCAACATCGCCGAGGCTGCGTCTCTCTCCCCGTGGTGTTAACTACCTCTCCTGGTATACAGGAAGTCGTGGGTTCGATCCCGACCCTGACCCCCGGTTGTCCCCATCTCGACATGCAGAGAGTGAACACCGCCACGCGTCTAGAGTGAACACCGCCACGCGTCTAGAGTGAACACCGCCACGCGTCTAGAGTGAACACCGCCACGCGTCTAGAGTGAACACCGCCACGCGTCTAGAGTGAACACCACCACGCGTCTAGAGTGAACACCGCCACGCGTCTAGAGTGAACACCGCCACGCGTCTAGAGTGAACACCGCCACGCGTCTAAAGTGAACACCGCCACGCGTCTAGAGTGAACACCGCCACGCGTCTAGAGTGAACACCGCCACGCGTCTAGAGTGAACACCGCCACGTGTCTAGAGTGAACACCGCCACGTGTCTAGAGTGAACACCGCCACGTGTCTAGAGTGAACACCGCCACGTGTCCAGAGTGAACACCGCCACGTGTCCAGAGTGAACACCGCCACGCGTCTAGAGTGAACACCGCCACGTGTCTAGAGTGAACACCACCACGTGTCCAGAGTGAACACCGCCACGCGTCTAGAGTGAACACCGCCACGCGTCTAGAGTGAACACCGCCACGCGTCTAGAGTGAACACCGCCACGCGTCTAGAGTGAACACCGCCACGCGTCCAGAGTGAACACCGCCACGCGTCCAGAGTGAACACCGCCACGCGTCCAGAGTGAACACCGGCACACGTCCAGAGTGAACACCACCACGCATCTAGAGTGAACACCACCACGTGTCTAGAGTGAACACCGCCACGCGTCTAGAGTGAACACCGCCACGCGTCTAGAGTGAACACCGCCACGCGTCTAGAGTGAACACCGCCACGCGTCTAGAGTGAACACCGCCACGCGTCCAGAGTGAACACCGCCACGCGTCCAGAGTGAACACCGCCACGCGTCTAGAGTGAACACCGCCACGCGTCCAGAGTGAACACCGCCACGCGTCCAGAGTGAACACCGGCACGCGTCTAGAGTGAACACCGCCACGCGTCTAGAGTGAACACCGCCACGCGTCTAGAGTGAACACCGCCACGCGTCTAGAGTGAACACCGCCACGTGTCTAGAGTGAACACCGCCACGTGTCTAGAGTGAACACCGCCACGTGTCCAGAGTGAACACCGCCACGTGTCTAGAGTGAACACCACCACGCGTCTAGAGTGAACACCGCCACGCGTCTAGAGTGAACACCGCCACGCGTCTAGAGTGAACACCGCCACGTGTCTAGAGTGAACACCGCCACGCGTCTAGAGTGAACACCGCCACGCGTCTAGAGTGAACACCGCCACGCGTCTAGAGTGAACACCGCCACGTGTCTAGAGTGAACACCGCCACGCGCCTAGAGTGAACACCGCCACGCGTCTAGAGTGAACACCGCCACGCGTCTAGAGTGAACACCGCCACGCGTCTAGAGTGAACACCGCCACGCGTCTAGAGTGAACACCGCCACGCGTCTAGAGTGAACACCGCCACGTGTCTAGAGTGAACACCGCCACGTGTCTAGAGTGAACACCGCCACGCGTCTAGAGTGAACACCGCCACGCGTCTAGAGCGAACACCGCCACGCGTCTAGAGCGAACACCGCCACGTGTCTAGAGTGAACACCGCCACGTGTCTAGAGTGAACACCGCCACGTGTCTAGAGTGAACACCGCCACGCGTCTAGAGTGAACACCGCCACGCGTCTAGAGTGAACACCGCCACGTGTCTAGAGTGAACACCGCCACGTGCCTAGAGTGAACACCGCCACGCGTCTAGAGTGAACACCGCCACGCGTCTAGAGTGAACACCGCCACGCGTCTAGAGTGAACACCGCCACGCGTCTAGAGTGAACACCGCCACGCGTCTAGAGTGAACACCGCCACGCGTCTAGAGTGAACACCGCCACGCGTCTAGAGTGAACACCGCCACGCGTCTAGAGTGACCACCGCCACGCGTCTAGAGTGAACACCGCCACGCGTCTAGAGTGAACACCGCCACGCGTCTAGAGTGAACACCGCCACGCGTCTAGAGTGAACACCGCCACGCGTCTAGAGTGAACACCGCCACGCGTCTAGAGTGACCACCGCCACGCGTCTAGAGTGAACACCGCCACGCGTCTAGAGTGAACACCGCCACGCGTCTAGAGTGAACACCGCCACGCGTCTAGAGTGAACACCGCCACGCGTCTAGAGTGAACACCGCCACGCGTCTAGAGTGAACACCGCCACGCGTCTAGAGTGAACACCGCCACGCGTCTAGAGTGAACACCGCCACGCGTCTAGAGTGAACAACCGCCACGCGTCTAGAGTGAACACCGCCACGCGTCTAGAGTGAACACCGCCACGCGTCTAGAGTGAACACCGCCACGCGTCTAGAGTGAACACCGCCACGCGTCTAGAGTGAACACCGCCACGCGTCTAGAGTGAACACCGCCACGCGTCTAGAGTGAACACCGCCACGCGTCTAGAGTGAACACCGCCACGCGTCTAGAGTGAACACCGCCACGCGTCTAGAGTGAACACCGCCACGCGTCTAGAGTGAACACCGCCACGCGTCTAGAGTGAACACCGCCACGCGTCTAGAGTGAACACCGCCACGCGTCTAGAGTGAACACCAGCCACGTGTCGAGTGAACACCGCCACGCGTCTAGAGTGAACACCGCCACGTGTCGAGTGAACACCGCCACGCGTCTAGAGTGAACACCGCCACGTGTCGAGTGAACACCACCACGCGTCTAGAGTGAACACCGCCACGTGTCGAGTGAACACCACCACGCGTCTAGAGTGAACACCGCCACGTGTCGAGTGAACACCGCCACGCGTCTAGAGTGAACACCGCCACGTGTCGAGTGAACACCGCCACGCGTCTAGAGTGAACACCGCCACGTGTCGAGTGAACACCACCACGCGTCTAGAGTGAACACCGCCACGTGTCGAGTGAACACCGCCACGCGTCTAGAGTGAACACCGCCACGTGTCGAGTGACACCGCCACGCGTCTAGAGTGAACACCGCCACGTGTCGAGTGAACACCGCCACGCGTCTAGAGTGAACACCGCCACGTGTCGAGTGAACACCGCCACGCGTCTAGAGTGAACACCGCCACGTGTCGAGTGAACACCGCCACGCGTCTAGAGTGAACACCGCCACGTGTCGAGTGAACACCGCCACGTGTTGACGAGCCTCACCTTGTTGTTGTTGTGGGCAGGTCGCTGCTGAAAACAAGAGCGGTACAGCAGCTCAAGCGGGCGTGGCCTGGTAAAAATATGAAAAAAACCGGTGTTAGTATAGAATATTTAAACAAAGGTACAAAGTGGCGATCCGGGTGAAGACAAATTAAACTTAAGCGAGAGAATTGAAGCGAACGCGACCAGGCGAGGGCAGGAGGCAAGGCCCGCGTTGTAAAGTTCCACCCTGCACATCGCCTCCATGCTGCTGCTACTCAATTGACATCCCGACGAGAGAGAGAGCGAGGCTCTACCTCGCTACACAACAACAGCCACCACAACCACCACCACAACCACCACAACAACAACCACCACAACAACCGCGATGAGAATTTCTCACCTCGGATTTCAGTGCACGGGCCGAGCGGCAACTTTCTGGTCCCTCGTGACGTCACGCAGCAGCAGGTGACATGACGTCACTAGCGGGGTAAGATGACACTCCCCTCCCACAATGAGCGGCCCTCAACTCGCGACGACTTTCACGAATAAATTATGTTAATGAGCCGCCAGTCACCGGGCGTGGCTTTGCCCAAATAAGGATTGGCACTGGGACAGACATCGGCAGCGGCCTAGCGGAGGTGACGTCACGCGCAAGAGCGCGGTGGTCGGGGTAGGTGACATGACGTCACTAGCGAGGCACACTTCCCCATTGCGTTTGACGCCGATGAGATCACGCGGCGCTGTGACGTCAGAGGGCTGGGTCAGAGTTCAAGTTTGTTGACAGAAGGGGAGCGGCAGTGACGTGGTGAGCGCTGCGCTCCGCACCGACCAGCCGAGTTCCATTCCCGCTCGTGGCCAACGCCGCCAGAGACACTTTCTGAGCCGGTCCTGAGCCTCCCCTACGTCGACTCAGCCTCAAACGAGTCCCCGGTGCGGTGTGTCAACATCGCCAGCACTGGGGAGACAAAGGCGGCCGGGCGTGGTGCTGGCCACCCACCACCCCCTCTGTGTGTGCCGTGACGACCTGCACCGGTGCTGCTACTCGCTGTGAGCAGCACTTTGTAGACGTCGTGGCTTGGCTCTCCAGCACACCGCTGGCGACATGTCACGATGACATTTTCATGAAAAGAAAATCGCCATACGAACCTCGGCCGTTTTTTGGCAAAATTGGCCCAATTTTCATGGCTTTATTTTTCAACGAAAAGTGCATTCCTTGGTTGTGTTTATAGCCTGAGTAGCCCATATATTACGTTAAAAAGTGGGGAATTTGATGCATGAAATTTTCGAATATAAAAAAGTTCATCGGCATACTGTGCCGTTTTTAGGCTCAATAAGCCAAACTTTTGACAGCTTTATTTTGGACGAAAGTTAATTCCTCTATTGTATTTATCCTTAGTATGCCATGTATTAGATTAAAATGCCGTTTTTGGTCAATAATGGCCAAATTTTTACAGCTTCATTTTTCAACAAAAGTGCAATCCTCGGGTGTGCTTAGCCTTAGTATCCTATATATTACGTAAAAAAAAGTGGTAAATTTCACCATGAAATTTTAAAGTAAAAAAATTAAATCGGCCAAAATTGGCCACACTTTCACAGCCTTATTTGTCGACAAGGTTCATTGCTCCATTGTATTTAGCCTTAGTATGCTATGTATTTGATTAAAATTGGAAAATTTCACGATGAAATGTTCATGTCCCAAACAGAAAATCGACATACTAAACCTCTGCCGTTTTTGGCTAAAATTGAAACGAATTTTTACAGCTGTATTTTTAAATAAAAAGTGCATTCCTCGGTTGTGTTGAGCATGATTAGCCTATAAATTACATTAAAAGTGGGAAATTTGACCATGAAATTTGAAGTAAAAAGATCAAATCGGCATACTTTACCAATGGCGTTCTTGGCCAAAATTTGCTACATTTTCATAGCTAGATTTTCCAAGAAAAAGTTAACTCCTCCATTTTGTTAAGCATTAGTATGCTCTATATTACTTTAAAAGTGGGACATTTCACGATGACATTTTCACGTCCATAAAAGGAAAATCGCCATACTAACCTAGGCCGTTTTTGGCAAAATCGATCCAATTTTTTTAGCTTTTTTTGCAACGAAAAGTGCATTCCTTGGTTGTGTTTAGCCTGAGTAGCCCATATATTACGTTAAAAAGTGGGGAATTTCATGAATTAACTTTTCGAATATAGAAAAGTTAATCGGCATACTGTGCCGTTTTTAGGCTCAATAAGCCCAACTTTCACAGATTTATTTTCGGACGAAAGTTAATTGGCTCCATTGTATTTAGCCTTAGTATGCTATGTATTAGATTAAAAGTGGAACATTTCACGATGAAATGTTCACGACCCCAACAGAAAATCGGCATGCTAACCTCTGCCGTTTTTGGCAAAAATTGAACCAATTTTTACAGCTGTATTTTGAAACAAAAAGTGCATTTCCTCGGTTGTGTTTAGACTGAGTAGCCTCTATATTACATTAAAAGTGGGAAATTTCACAATGAAATTTGAAGTAAAAAGATCAAATCGGCATACTTTACCAATGCCGTTCTTGGTCAAAATTTGCTCAATTTTCATAGCTAGATTTTTCAAGAAAAAGTGAATTCCTCCATTTTGTTAAGCATTAGTATGCTCTATATTACTTTAAAAGTGGAAAATTTCACGATTAAATTTTCACGCCCCAAAAATAAAATCAGGGATACTTACTTATGCCGGTTTAACCAAAATAAGCCAAATTTTCATAGCTTTTTTTTTCAACAAAAAGTTAATTCATCAATTGTATTTACCCTTAGTATGCTATGTATTAGATTAAAAGTGGAACATTTTATGATGAAATGTGCACGTCCCAATATAGAATATCGGCATACCGTTTTTGGCCAATAATGGACAAATATTTGCAACTTCATTTTTCAACAAAAGTGCAATCCTCGGGTGTGCTTAGCCTTAGTATCCTATATATTACGATAAAAGGTGGGAAATTTCACACCGGGTACTTCCCGCGAGTACTCTTATATAAGCACACAACTTCATCTGTCTGTGATGAACGCTGCACTTTACTTAGTTTTCATGCAGGAGGCGCTGCAAACCTACGCGCCCCCTGCATGAACGACGGAGGAGCAGGGACAGACGTTCGATCGCGTTGGAATCGATCTGCAGACGGCGGTCTTCTGGCACGGCCAGCTCTATGTCGCCTTATCTCCACCCCGCGATCCCAACCAGGAGAAAGTCCGCATCAAACCGAACCCCGGTAAGGCCATCTACTTAACGACGAAAATAATTCACGCGAAATGTTGTTTTCAATTAAGTCTTCCAGATGTAAAATGATATAATACAATTATCTAATTAAAACATAATACAATTCAAGTTGTTTCATTTTAAAACTCCAAAATGGAGCATCGGGAGTTGGCGTGAATGCGTCGTTCATGTGCAATTTTCTTCGTGACTTTCCTGGCCGAAAGCCGTGAATGGTTGTGAGGGGGCACCGCAGGCAATCAGGCTTGCTTCAACCCCATGGTTGTCAACATCCAGACGTTAATCGGCAAGGACCATTTCTTGTCCGAGTTCGCCAACATATAAGACGTCATGCAAAATTCTAATGAGTGTTGTTGTGGAGAATGTATCTACTAGATGTGCTCTGCCTTGTAACCAAATACAAATCTATACCAAAAATGCATTTCAAATAGGCTCTTAGAATTACCTCCTTGCTATGAAGCAGATCAGCAGACACAACATCTTTCATTTATCAATCTCTCCACGAAACAAATGAATGTTTTACACAAACTATAACTAGCACGGACTTCTGGGAGTGCGTCAATTATTCAGTGCAAGCCACCTGTGGACCCTTATTGGTGCACAGCGTCTCAACAGCAGCCGGGCTTGTTTCAACCGATAGTTACGGACATCCAGACGTTAATCAGCAAGGAGCATTTCTAGTCCGAGTTAGACAAAATCTACGTCAACACGTAATGCAAAATTATAATTCGTGTTGTAGAGAATGTACCTCCTCTATGTGTAACTTTTAAGTGGTTTGCCTTGTAACTGATGAATGATCCGAGTGTGCTCCTATTTCAAAGACAATGAGTTGCTCCAGAGGGAGATGCTTCCTGAAACCACAAAAGTACTCTTTGACCTGTATCACAAGAACAATGAGTCTCACCTGAGTGATCTGTACAGGTTACTCCAAAAACACACACTTTGTCCTAACATCACTTAATCAATGTTTGACCCTTGTAGACAAAATGTTACATGTACGCACACAATCGACAAGTATTCATTCTAAATTATTGACAATAATTTTTACGAAGTTAAATTACTGCATTGAAATATGCTGCATCAGGTTACATCGTATTAACAAGATAAACAAAAAACACTGTCTGCTTAATAGTGTATGTACAACATACTATTGTGTCATTCAAAACGAGTAGGCCATTGGATGCTGTCGTCTGGGTCAAAATTGAGCAAATTCTAAACATTACCTACAAACTCCACAACTAAGATGCCACATCAACCATCGCCCCCTACTGACAGGCTCTTGTTCACATGCAGGCCGGTGCAGGGCCACCACCTTGTGCCACACAGGGGCAGCTGCTACTTGGGGATGCTCTTCGAGTGTTTGAGACGAGAAACGATACAAAACTACTAATTGCCGAGGCAATTAAGCAAGCACAATATAAATGCATTATGATAACATAGTGAATGCTTGGGAGCTTATTGGCTCTCGCTCCTGGTTAGAGATCTACCCAACACACAGGTCCACAACGACTGGCCGCTCTTACCCTGCAGGTTGAACCTAGGGAACCGAGTGTTCAACTTCACATTCTTTTCATTAAAGGCCTGTGACAAAGGTGCATCTATTGGAGCGGCATCGTCTAAGGCAGTGGTTCTTAACCTTGTTGGAGATACTGAACCCCACCAGTTTCATATGCACATTCACAGAACCCTTCTTAAATGGAAAAATAAAATTATTTTTTCAAATTCAAAACATAGGTACATGTTTTACTGGTGCACAATCATACGAGTCAGGTGTGTGTCTTAACCTCCGCCGAACCCCTGAGACTGACTCACCGAACCCCTGGGGCTCGATCGAACCCAGGTTAAGAACCACTGGTCTATGGCTTACGCATCTCCCCGGGTCTCCATTTGACTTTGTATTGTCTCGGAGGAAGTCCACCCACACCTCCACTTCCACAAACTGCTGGGAGTTGCCTCGCTCTGCCTCACAGTCAGAATTCTCCTCCTGCTTCACGTTGCCTCCATCGATGTGAAAGTCCGATTTTGGAATTGAATCTTCATCTTCACATTTTACCTTCACTTCTTCGCTCTTCACCATCACTTCTTCACATTTCACCTTCACCTCTTCAAATTTCACCTCGATACCTTTAAAAGTTTCCAAGCTGGGATTTTCTTCCGGTTCTTGTTTCATGAGAGAT